GATTTTGAAGTAATCGAGCGTAAACTTATTTATAGGAATTGACGAAATCAACAAGTGAATATATTACGGAACTCAAAACGCGGAAATGAAACTTACGAAACCACTTATATCAGTAATAATTAGAATATCGTAGTGTGGGTCGCACGCGACAGGTAAATATGACCTCTCACTTGTAGCGCGCTCCCTTGTACACCTTGCCCGAGTTCCACTGGTAATTTCCATTGCAACGAATAAGGATTAACTTTACTTTCGTGATGCTATATTTTGAATTAGATCCGCAGGGCGTTAACTGCGTTGTCGTCTCCATATAAATACAGGAAAGGCCTTTCAACCCAAACGTGACAAATACTTCTTTTCGGAATGGTTTAGTTTGCCATAGTGCATGTTTCTTTGTTAGTAATATTCTAGAATCTAGATGCACTCATTATGTCTCCTGGGGACAGTCCCGATTTGTTTTTTACTTTGCACCTTATAATGGACAGCTCATATCGCGTCATTATATCCTATCTTACAAAAAGCAAACACTTGTATTGAATCCGTGTGATTGCCAATTTATTGCAGACTGATAGGTGTATTTGCCTTCACTTTTTGGAATTGTTTCCTGTATGAGTTATTGAAGCTTGGTAAGCTTTATTCACGCTTGGGCCACACACGCCTCAAATTCATTAGCTTCGGATATCTTTCGCTCATGGTTGGTTTATCATAGATGTGTCGTTTTTTTATCTTGTTCGAAACATTGCGCCATACGTCGCAATTTCAATGAGATGCAAACGCACTTTGCAATGCGAAATTCAATGCAATGTTAGGGAGGAACTGATGCAATGATGCGTTTGATGTGACGTATTCTGGTCCAACTTTATATCCAATTATGGTATATTTAAAGATCACTAATTGCATCATTGCCGAATTAAGATCAGATTCAAAACAAAATTGAAATTTATTATTTTCATTTTATACGGGTGCTACAACGACTTATGTCTTTATTGTTTCTCAATGCTTCCAAAATACCAATCGCAGCTCGTGCTCAGAGTAAAATTTTGCTCTGGCTCAATACCGGTGGCTGTATTTAAATTATTATGTCATGTTTCTATTTGAAATTTGAATGGTAATCGCCAGTGTTTGTTACTTCGTTTGTTTTTCTTGACGCAATCCTCCACATACTAAGCCTGGGACAGAAAAATAAACGCATCTTTCTTACATTGCTACTTGCTACGACGTGTCCTTGTGTACTTTCGGGCCGTGACTTAGGTCACTGATATGTTAGCATTACTATTAGTATTCAAATTAATTTGTCATGTTGTCCCTTTATCTTAAATCATCGTCTGGACATGGAATGATGTCATTGTCGTCGACTTTGCCGTCGTCACTTTATGTGACGCTGGTCTCTTGCTTGCGGAATCGAAGTTCATTGGCCACGTCACGAATCGAAATCAGAATATAAATCAGTCGTGATATGCCTACTGTTGCTGTAATTTGTAGATAATTCCCGCTTGTATTTTGTGAAGGCTTCTAGTTCGTCTGTCAGACACACATTCCGATTAGCTATCATATTCAATATAAAAAATATTTCCAATATGCGAAATGTGGTGACCGTACATTTGAACCCATGTACATTTGAACCCATGCGTATATCCACGGGTTCAATCTATATGCGGGTGCTAAAACTCATGGGTTAGGGTTAGTATAGGTTTAACTATCCGTGAAACAAAAAAAATTCCATAGGTGCAATAGTATGCAGGTGCAATTGTCATGGGTTCAAATGTACGTGGGTTCAAATGTAATGGAACCGCGAAATGTTGTTATACGACAACCCAAACAAGTACGACCTTTGGACTGAACGAGACCCGAACCAACAGTGTGTTTTGAAAACAACTCGACCTTTAGGTCATCCGTTTCTTGATTGTTCGTCGTAGATTCGAGTAAATTTTGTGGCGCAAATAAAAAGGTATATATATATATTTAGCGCCTAATTGTTTTGCCATTTTAATTGAATACTAAAATTAGCTTTTTAATAATCTTTTTTATTTGTGGCGATGGCTCGAAAATGGCATTTGTCCCGGCTTTTTTTAAACGCTCTTGATCATCTGAAATGCCAGGTATACGATGCGTATGATACTTACTGCAAAAATTTAGTTGTAATAAAGAGATAATGTCGAATTGGAAACTACAATTATTCGGAACTTTTGAATTTTTGAAAATTTTAAAATTTTGTCTTCTGTGTTTTAATAGCCCATTTTGCATTGCAAAATTGTTGTTGAAATTTTCGAGGTATGGCCTTTCTCAACATTCCCATCGCTGTAACTCTTTTCAATCATTCAAGTCCTTATAATGTACAACGATAGAAGGACACAATTGAATTGCCGGTGACCGTACATTTGAACCCACGTACATTTGAACCCATGTGCATATCCGCGGGTTCAATCTATATGCGGGTGCTGAAACTCATGGGTTAGGGTTAGTATGGGTTCAAATATGCGTAAAACAAAAAAAATTCCATAGGTGCAATAGTATGCAGGTGCAATTGTCGTGGCTTCAAATTACGTGGGTTCAAGTGTAATGGAACTGAATTGCCTTCTCAAATTGTTACGTTGCGGCATTGCTTCGAGATCAGTTAACCTACCGACGTCACGACGTACGAGTTTGCTTGTATCGTGGATACCGTTTCCCGTATGATTGAAAATTATTCTGTTCAATAATGATTGTTATTTAACTGGGAGCTTTTTATATCAAATAATGTAAAACAAACAAAGGCAAGGATCAAATTGAAAACCTATTATATTATATAAAAAGAAACTCAATCGATAAACATGTTGATGCTGCCCACGGACAGGCTCAGACCTGCCCTGCTGTCCTAAATCGGGACACACTTATGCTAAATTTCCCATCGGGGAAGCAGGTGCAAATCCTGTGGTAATTCTGTGCTCGATGTGGTTAATAGAAAGAATACGTTCGGTCAAGCTATTGTGATAGCTTAGTTTCTGTTTCTACTTTCGCGTGACTGTTTATCATTATTTCAATTTTCACCAGTCTACCTCAAATGCAACGTTCATTCATTTCGGTATTAACTATTGTTAGAAGTTGAAACTCAGAGACAAGTGTTTAATTAAATTTATATATTTTCCAAACGATTGTGTTTTTATGAAGTCATATTTAAAAAAAAACAGAACTTTCGCAAATATTCAAATACCTATAATTGGAAACGCGCGACGAACTCGTCTGAATTGACCTCGTGACCACTCTTTCACGCAAAGAATTGCCAGACGACGTCGATTGTAAATATTACGTAATGTGTTTTGGTGCCTCGACGTCGCGAGGATCCGCGATATTCTTGTATAGTGTGTCTTCCTCTCCATGTCGTCTTTACTTTATTGGCAAATGATGTAGCAAGTTATGTCAGTGAGTACAGCCAGGACAGATTGGGTACTAGTTAATGATGACTCATGCAAATCCTATTGCAAAACTTTTTGATGCTACTTTAGCGTTAGCGTGAGATCTTCCACATGGTCGTATAATAGCGCGAGGTCTAACGCTGCATTCTCATCCCGAATGGATTTTACTTATTTCTATGCATGTAATATAGCGATATATGGCATGATTCTGGCTCTAACCCAATAAACTTTAGGCTGGACCTGGATAGGCTCACTTGGAAATTGTCAGGATCTTCTAGAACCATATACGAGTATACGTAATAATCTAAATATGAAAATAATATGCTCGACCCCGATTTGTATTTTAATCAAACTATGCAAGCCAAATTAATAAAAAAAATGAATTTGAGTATTCGACCCTTCTTCAATTTAATTTATAAAGACAGTTGTCTTGCCGCTTTTAAGGCTCCCTTGAAATAAATCTGTCAGAATAGTTTTCTGCCGCTCCTTAATTGTTACGCGCTAAATTGGTCAAATAGTCATGGGACAATAAAAGTTGCCACAGACCACAATCACTAGGATTGTGTTTTCATCAGTACAGTTTTTCAATTATGTGAAATCATACTTCATTGGGTAACCATAGGTTAACAACTCAAATGTTAACTATTGGTCCTGTTCCGTTATTATGATTTGATGTATTTCTCGTTTCCCGGGAAACATCATGCTTGTGCGACATCTGTAGCTATTTATAGCCATTTATAATTGTATTTCGATGTCGCAAAATGGGCCTTTGATAATTAGTGCCAATTCATTTTTCTTGTTTAGCGATTTGTTTTAATTATTGTTGTTAATGACAAAGGGAAAACGTCAAGCGGGAAAATGAGCTTCAGACTTAGAGGGCGTGGAGCGTGTCATTCACTGGTTTTTCGCGGCTGATTAATTACTATTGTGTCCTTTTTAAACGTTTTCAAGGGTCGTTGTGTACTTTAAATGGTCGCAATCAATGTATTTTTATCCCTGGTGCAACAGGTCGTCAACCACAATCCTTGGTTCCGTATTCGATGTTGTTTTACTGTTGTGATTTGACGTCATACTCCTGTAAGTTTTGTATGTTAAAAGGTGTAAGCCCATTGAGGAAGTCGTATAGAACAAAACTTAGAAAATTGAAAGTACTTGGGCCCACCCCCTGTTGGATTTTATTTTATTGGGTCAGTTGTTTGTCAATTACAAACAAATACACTATGATTTAGTTTATCAATTGTTTGATTGAAGCGCATCCCTAGCAACAGAACACTGAACACCAAGTATAAATATACATGATCATACCTGATTTTGTTATTTTTATTGAAGCGCCAATCACATTAATTATTCTAATATATAATATCTTTGTTATATTCGAATTTTTGTAAAAAGTTGATGTATTTTTTATGGCCCATTTATGTCCTTATATGATTATGGTAGTGCCACAAAATAAAAACCAGGTATAAAACCCACAAATCTTCCAGATGGAGATTATATTAAAATGAAACAATATTTTAACATACATTTTTTCTGTTTGTTTTTCTTTTTTTCTACTCTGTTGAAGAATATAAATAGCATACAGTGTAGCAGGACCATTTTCTGTCATTACAGCTCGCAAGAATATTCTCTGAAGGGTGCATATGACAAAAAAGCTGGTTCACCTATTTCTCACACACGAGCTGTTTCTGATCCAGTCATCGTAAGAAACGACGTTACTGGAAAACATAGAAACAAGGAAAAAGAAAAGGATAAAGATAAGAAAAAATTCTGGAAAAGAAAGAAAAAGTAAGAATTTTATTTTATTTTTGTATAAATCATGTTTTTTTTTTTGGAGAAAAATTCACAGCAATCAACTATTTTATTAGGTTTATTTTCTCAAATTTGAAAATGTATCTAGCTAAACAATATATCATCAGTTCCCAGCCGGGGGCAACAGAACAGATAGAGGGAGCCACAATGCTAGTCGCAGAACTGATTTTACTTTTCACTTTACACGAAAACGTTCTTCCCAGATTATTGCTTGATAAGGTTATTTCACAGGGTGTTTTTGCTTTTTTGTGCATGATTTGTTTCGACATGATGGGATTTTGAACCTTCCAATCATAATAACACTCTAAATACCACTGGAATGATAAACAGGGAGGGGCCATGAGTGCTTGAAAGCCCCCGTATGGGGGCCATGACTCATGAGTCATAAAAGGTTGGGAACCACTGCAATATAGTAAGATTATTATGTTGTAGAATTTCATTATTATTCCATGAAATTATTTCCATAAATATTGATAGTGAGGTCACCAGAACTCTCAAACTCACTCGAAAGCATAACAAACACACCATGATCTGAAAAGATGCATTACATTGCATTTCAGCATTCCATATTTTGGGTACATTGAAGATGATTATAATATCCTGGATAAAATAGGAATATACAAGTGTTACTGGAGAATAACACTTGAGATTCGTACTTCAATAATATTTATTAAGCGACATATACAAAGTCTGAAGTTTTTGTTTGTATAAATACATACATACTGCATGACAACGCCCTGAAAATTTTTCTCTCTCTGTTTTGCACTCAGCCTGGTGCACGTACTGACTGTGTATTATTCAACCGTCAGTGTTCACTTCTTTGTTTACATTTCCTGAAAGACAAAGAAATCTTCATCTGCATTTGGTTTTAAAAAGGGCACACTTCACGCAATCGTAGGTTACACACTAGTTATTCCTACATGAATAAATATATAAGCACTATTTTAGTACTTTTCATGTATGGCAGATATATTAATAAGAGGTGTTGGACTTGCCCCAGTGAATAATTATGTAGCAATGACACCCTATAACTATAAATAACTTGTTTGGTGACTGAAAATCATATTTTCATTAGTTAAATATTATTCTATAGATACAGCCGCCTACATGCTTACTTAGGTGTCTATAAATCACTCTATAAATTGTCTGGAACAGATGGGACTAGGGAGTAGGGATACATTTTACTTTAGGGTGTGGCAACTCTTTACAGTGCCAAGATATAATTAGAAGATTACTGGATATTGCCTCTCTATGTAAATTTCAATTTTATTATCAAATTTGATATTTATTTTGAAAGGTAGATATTGGTATGAAATTACAGCATTATGACCCACATTTTTTTATTCTATGTGCTTAGTCATTCAAATTCGTTTATTCAAAGTGAAAGTAACACAAAAAATATATCAAATAAGGTGATAACCACTATAATATTCATAATTCATTGATATATTAATAATTGGGCACTCTAGAAGTGTGTGTAACAATATGGAGGTAACTAATTTTGTTCGCCTAATTTACATCAAGTTGTGTAAAGGGACTGAAAGCTATGGGCAAGGGTATATTCACTTGGCTAACACAGACAGTCCCTGAACTCGTAATAGAACTAAAAACCGGAAAATAGGAATAAAATTATGGCCTAACCCTAACCTGGTACACACACTAAGGAGGTACCAATAATTGTCCTAAATTTTAACTGCAATTTCTGTTTTCAGGATTGTTTTATTGAATAAACTATAAATTTTTACTTATATATAAAATGACAGGCGCCTAAAATAACCACTAAATAAGATGGCCTTGCACCCTGTCTGTATACTGGAATTTTATATCCTTGGAATGTGCTTACTAAATTTTTGACAGTTTCATTGAATATACAGGGTACCCATAATGTCAATATAAATAATTTATAATTTGTCTTGACCATCTATGTGACATATAAACTAAACAAAACACCCTTTACTTCTGGAGTTCATGCTTTTTAAAAACTTTGAAAAGTATCTTATGCCTAATGATTGTTTACTTTTAGGAAGAAGGAAGGTCAAAAGTCAAAAGAAGATTCTGTCGATATAGCATCATCGTAAGTATAAAAAAGAAAAACTTTTTCTAAGTACCGTATTTGCTCGTTTTGTAACCCGGGCCCATACTTTTTCAACCAACTCACTAACCGGGCCCCTATTCAAACCGGCCCTTATTCAAGCACGGGCGCTTGTTATTTTCGATCTTTACAATAATTAATATATTGCTATTTCTAGTTCTCAAGTATGATTTAAAAGAGAATAACGAAAATTTTGACTTTTTTTACGCAACGCAGGTACAAATCCGCAAAAGAAGAAAAGTTTTGCGACGCCCTATCAATATTGAAATGATGCACTTGGGCGCCGCGACGCCAGTTTGAGAACCATGGTGTTATGTAATCAATGCTATCTGTTATGTACTTGGACGCCTAAGGCGAGAGTGTTATCTACCGGCGCTTAAAATTCAACAGCCTTGTGACAAAAGCGCTTCCTATTTCTTATTGTTCTCTACCACTGAAAAATCAGCTTTTTATTCAAGCACCGGCCCTTTTTTATTTTTATGTTCTGGTCACACGGGCGGCTATTCAAACGGGCCCTTAATCAAGATCGGGCGGTAAAATGAGCATATACGGTACTTTTAAAGCAAAGTATACATTACTGAATACTTTTTATTAAATTACATCATCTGCCATGTATTATAATATAAAATGCATATAGGAGATTTTGAGTGGGAAAGTACACCAATAACAATTGTTACAAGATTGGCAACTGCTAATGAGAGAAGGTTGTTTTTACAGATGGTTACATAATTCTCAACGTATGTGTGTGAATATATTTTGGTTTTTGCCGACATAAAGTCTATTATCTGTGGGAAAATACACAACCTTTGAATAAACATTATTACATTATGATGTAATGTTTTTTGTATCTTTTGTTATTGATTTTTCCTATGTATGTATATTATAATAATAATAGCATCCCACATATATATATTTATACAACTTGACTGTGGTAATAATCCCTTATGGGAAAATTCAAATTGGTATAACGCCCGCTTAAGTTATTACAGGTGTCAACTCTTGTGACTTTTGTTTATTTTTATTTTTATCCTAATTTGCTTTTAAAAGGATGATAGGTTATTCAATGTTCTTTATTTTCACAGGACGTGTTCTGTATTCTTACCAGTATTTTTTTTTGTAGGAGTCAAAAAGTACATAGGAATCACTCAGACAGACTGAGTAGAGAGGACAGCACAGCATCAAAACGGTACGTTTACTTGGACCGGACTTCAAACTTTTCTAAAAAATATTTTCAAGTATAAAACCCTATGATATGACAACCCAATTTCCATACTGATGTTACTCAAAGCGGTTCTGTTTTAAATTTATTTGAATGGATTCAGAGTGAAAATATTGAGACTCTTTGTAGATCTGGCTTGAAGTATCTTACCAAAAGGTTCTTTTAGGGTACATTTATGTCTTTGTCTTATCAGCCATTGTTCGCTGGTTTCAATTTCAATTGCTTTGTGTATTTTGTTTTGATATTATTCGAGTTAATTTATCTGTGTTTTTGTTGTAATTTATAGGAGGTCTCCCTCGCCACCTACGTCGCCGAAAAGAACACCTAAACTTTTTAGGAGATTTTCTAAAAGAAAAAAGGTATGAATTTTTTAATTTTTATTGTATTTTTGGGAGCTCCAGAAGTGTGTGTACCAATATAGAGGTAACTAATTTTGTTCGCCTGCTTTACATCAAGTTGTGTAAAGGGACAGAAGCCTATGAACAGACAGTCCCCGAACTTGTAGTAGAACTAAAATAGGGGAAAATCGGGATAAAATTATGGCATAACCCTAACCTGGTACACACACTACAGGAGTATCTATTTTTGATTTAAAATACTTCTACTTTTTCGATAATTTAACTTTTTTATAGTAGCATCATGTGATCATTTAATTCCTGTGACTGTACATGACTCAACAACATTTTTATATCCGACAACTGATAGCAAGTCAAACTAGCAAGTAATAACAAAACACAAAGCCTGTTGTTTTTGGTTATGTCTTATATTTTGCTTTTCTTCATTCAATTCAGGGAGGAAGACCAGAAACCCCACTGACTGAATCTTCTTCTTCATCTAAAAGCACAAGCAGAAGCAAAAGTTTAGAATTTGACGCTATCCATAATGAAACACCGCCGAATGGGTAAGAAAACACTCTTTATTTTTAAAAAATATAAAATTTATATGCTCTGATCATTCTATCGTTCCGACAAGCTGGTAAAAAAAAACTGGCGCTCTAGAAGTGTATGTACCAATATGTTATATTATGTAAAGAACCGATACCCGGGGAAATGGTGAAATTACTAAACTTAGGAAAGGTGAATGTAAGAAAAGGGGAATACCGGCTTGCTAATACTAATGACTCATGGACTATACCGCACTCTTGGCATGATGTAAAATAACCTTATGACTCAATAAAATAAAGTATATGAGGGTATTTGCCCCGGTACACATACTACGGGAGTACCAAAAAACTAGGCTTATTGTATTATTACTATCAAAGACTTTTTTCAAAAGAATTTCCATATATATTACATGGCATGACGAAGTGGACCTATGGATTGTTATGTTGTTGTTATTTTTCTTCTTGTCACCTTATGAAAGAGGACGCTCTTCTCATTCACTAATGGATCAATTGCTTTGAAATTTTCAGTGGTTAAACATTGTATTTTCGCTGGAAGACTATTACTTTTATTTATTCCCAAATTATCTATGATATCTGATATTTCATCAGAATTTCGCTTTATTTTTCATGGGAACACGGTTTTTAATCCGAACAAACGCTACTGCAATTTCCGATTCTACGCTACGCGAAACTTTGCTTTGGACTTCGTGTCCATATATTTGAGCATCGCTCTTGTTTATATTGAATTCTAAGCTTCATAATGAACTTTTTTCTATTCCTAGGGATTCAAAATCGAGCAGTTTACCAATGGAAGTTAATTTCTCAACAAAATCAACCAGTGAGATAAAGAACAAAGAAGGAAGGTAGTGTGTTGCGTTCTTCAAATTTTTTCTGCAAATATTTTGTTATTATATTAGGTGACAATAATAATTTCTGAGTGAGTATTCTTTGAGCATATTTTCTTTGTACCTTCAGATCACAGCAGTCAGTTCAATTCGATTCGATACCAACGGCAGGGAAAAGGAATCGAAAAAATTCGGAAGAAGTTGTTCGACCAAACACTTTAGATCTTCCACAAAAGAAAAAACCTCAATCAACGTTTAAAAAATTTAAAAAATTTATTTTTGATTCTTCTTCTTCATCATCTTCTGATTCTGAAGAGGAGGAATTTAGGAATCAACGTATTAGTGGTAACTATTTTTTTTTGAATTGTTCCTAGGTTTCATGATTTGAAATTCTCAAGCTGAATTTGCAAAATTGTAAAGTTTAAAGTTCAATGTTAAAATTAACCTTTATATTATTAGTTTAAGTCCCTATTCCGCAAAACTGCATCTGGGGTAAGTGATGTTTCATAGTAGTGGCTAAACCACAATGGATATGGAGTCGGAACTGGAGCCCAGCTTCGAGATAAAAAATGATTTAGCTGGAGCCATTGTGATTTCAAACCAGGTTCCTAGTCCTGGTCCTATATACCTTGGCTTCTCCGGTAATTGATCGATATTGGATTTCATTTCTTCCGTTCCAACTCTTTTTTGAAAAAAATTTACAAGAAAGCAAGGTCCAATGGCTTCTTTATAGTAAAAGTCTTTTAGCTAATAAAAACTGTATTAATAATTTGAGTTTGGTATGCCGAACCAAAACATTCATTCTTTCCTTCAAAAACATATTTTTGGAAAAATATGTGACATTAATTCTATTGCTTTGTCATATTTCGTGATGAGGCAAATTCAAGCCTAATGTTTTCTGTCATATTATTTTCAACTAAAGTGCCTCAAGTGGTATCAGTACTTGGTGGAAAAATATTTTTGTAGAAGTTGATCAATTTGCTACAAATCTAACCATATTTGACAAAAATATTTCAAACTCGAACTTTTTGCCTGTCTAATGCTTGAGTTCAAGTGTTTGTTAATGATTACATGTATGTTAGAAATCATTATAAAGTTTTAGACTTACTTTTTTAGGAATAAATGAATGAGCCAGCATGCTTAATAAAAGCTTGCCATTCCCAGTATACTTATCTACAAAAATTTTAAGTAGCAAAAATTGCCTCAACTGTGATTAGTACTTGGTGGAAAAAGATAGAAGTGGTTCAATTTGCTACAAAGCTAACCATATTTGATTAAGTGCTCCATAAAAATTCCCAGTAAAGTGCCATTCCCAGTAAAGATACTGTACAAAAAAAGAATACGTGGGAACTTCATTTTTAATACTTTATATAGTATCAAATGATATTATTATGAAAAATGATAAACAAAATTTACATATTTTTATTTAAAAGGATCACAAAGCCGTCAAACATCAGTATCAAGAGGTCATTCATTACAAGAAGTTACAAGAAGACGAACTTCGAAGAATTCGAATCTTGAAGAACCATCGGTAGGTAGCATGGTCAGTTAGTCTTGCTACATAATTTTAGGTGTTGTCTTCTTCAAACAGTATTTTGAATGAGTAGATACCTGGATAACTAAGTTGCAAATACAGACAGTGGAACAATGCGTTCTTTTGAGATGTTGTATTCGCTTAAAAAGTAGCGCAGTCTCAGATAGAGTTCAAGCAACTATTTATTCTAAAGAGCGTTATCATAATTTACCCTTAGGTGAGGTGTTGGTCTTGAGTTGAAACCAACATTGTTGGCTAGGTGCATCAACCATAAAACCATCGCCTTCTCATAATAATAGTGACATTTGAATAAAATTTTTTATACATATCCATTATACGGTTATCGTCATACTGTTATATTACTTACCTGTTACACTGATGTAGACAAAAACCAAAACTAGTTATGCTTCCATTAACACATGTAGAATATCCATATAGTTGCAGCTAACAATCTTGAGATTAAACTCTTACAGCTTTGATTTTAAGGTTGATGATGTCAGAGACAGATATCAACATAGAGCAACAAAATCAATGAGTGATATAGATCCTATCGACAAAAACTGCTCGGAAATTGCACTCAAATTGAGAAGAGTGGCTGAGCAATATGTAATACAGTGAGTACTTTTTAATTTTTCATCGATATTGCATAGTCTCAGAATTTTCTCATTGAATCAGCTTTCCTATTGAGCTGCATTTCTAACTTAAACATCAAATATTGGAAGGCAGCTTAAAATGATGATGTAGATCCAACATTTCCATTTTCAATATAAGAATGATTTATCGTAACTTTCGTGTCATTGTTTGGATTGCCAAAATTTAAATTCTGCAACACAAAAAACAAATTACTCAACAAATAAAACTCTGATTTCAATTAAAAATCAGTTCTTCACTGTGTCTTTCACTTAATTTCTCTAATCTTCTTTCACTTAAAATACAAAGTACATCTAACATAATTAATAATTCATACTCGCCACGCATTATCTGTCATTGTCATGTATAGTTGACAATTGACATTGTATTGTGACATGCAACATGATGTATTTATAGTTTTCAAACGAATATTTTTGAAGTATACTAAATGAACTAGAAATTATATGCCTGTCCACAGTGTCCAGTGTATATTATCGAAACAATATTGAAATATTAGTAGACAATTATACAATATCAGATTTTCATATTGACACGGATGCACTGATTATGAAAAATATTTTTTTCCTAAAATATTTTCTTTCTAAATCCTGCTTTAAGGTAAACTTGTTGCAATGTTTACCTTATTCACAACTAACATAAATCCTCATATTCAATATTGATGACCAATATCTGTTGGTCATTTCTCTACCGTCCAGTTCGATTGCAATAATAATGTTTACGTGCTAACGCCAGCAATGGTCAGCAAGGGATTGATTACTTACGGTCAATTGCCCAGAGAGAAGCTTAATGCACACAGCAACATGGGCTTTGTTGATGCTTCTTCTTGATTGGATATTGATTTTTTTTCTTTGCTTGTTTTGTATTTCGCCCTGTTTTTGTAACCAGACAAAACATACATACCTAAAGAAGTAATTTGTGATAATTTTTGATTTACCATCATAAAAAACTCAACGTTTCATATTATTTCTTAAAATATATTCCAATAATAAGTCAATTTTCCGCATCATAAACTAAAGCAGCTTTAAACTTTTTATGTACTCCCACGAAAATTTGATTTATAAATATGCCATGTTTGGTTGAGGATAACCGTAAGATAAGCATATTCCCAATGGGAATTTCTCTCTCTGTGTCAAAGGCAGCCTAATCTACACGCTTCATTAAGCGATAATTAAAATGCGTAAATTATACATCCACGTTGTCAACAAAAGGAGAGAGTGAAAATATTGTTGTACATAAACATTGCATATTTTGTATCCATTCTCTCCTATATCACACCTGGATGCCTTTGCCGTGTTTTACAATTGTCTTGTTTACTGTTTTTTCGCGCCTTCATTAAAAATGTTGTTCACCAACATGCAATACAACAAATACTCTATGACATTGTTTACCAATTTGAGTTACGTTTTCCATCACTTTGCAAAGAGAAAAAAAGCATCACATAATAGTATAAATAACCAACGGTCAGTAAGGCTTACCATCATTCATAATATATACATACAAAGAGTAGTATAAATATTATATACTGTAACTATAGCTGTTAGCAATTGCAAAATTTTGAAAAGGGTATATTGAAGTGTTGAGATGTTTAGCTCTACCGCTGGGTTGTTTTGCCATGCCAGGTAATTTAACTTTTGCTGCAATTGAATCTAATATATAAATTTTGTTATAATATAAAACTTTGAATTATACTTTGAAGACTGAAAAACAATTTCAATATAGGAAATTGTAGTAGATTGGATGTGTAAATAAACTTTTAGCCAAAACACATATTTGGTCTGGATGATCATATTAAGCTATCTGTTCATTTTTGGTTCTCTCAAAAATCATATTTGATTTAGCCCTGAATATTTCAATGATAATAAACACCATAAATGCAACCATGTTGGAACGCTTATGAATTTGTTATATTTTTTCATCAGCACCATTGTTTGACTGACACTTTGTGTTATCCTATTTTGCTTTGACTTTTATGTAATTTTGAAATTATTTTATTAATAAATATTATTTATTTCAGTTATGGTGGACCAACTGGAAGGACTCAGACCCCAGAATCTTATAGACATGAATTACATCGGGAGATCAAACATGGAAAGGTAAGAACAAGAATTTATATCAAATTACTTTGAAGTGAATCATGAAAAATCTGAAACAGACATTTTCATTGTAAATATATTTATCTATTCAGAAACCACCCGTGAAGAAAGCCGTTGCCCGTGCTGCGACACTTCCAACACCAGTACAAAGTCATTCCATGAAAGCTTATTTGAACATGAAAGAAGGAACAAGGAATGTCAATTTTTCGGCAGACTCTCGATTGCAACGTAGAATAACAAGAGACGAAATTGATCATCGTCCATCAAGGTCACTCGATTCACCTCGTGGGTCAGAAAATGGTGCAGGATGGTCTGATCGTATTAATAAGGAGCGAGCTCCACGGACGCAGGAAGTTCCAAATGCTCGAGAACCAAGATTAGATCATCATGTTGGAACCAAACCTAAAGATAAACTTGATTCCTCCTCTGCTATGCGTAGATCTAATGCCATTCCGTCACCTCCGGCACAATCAGGGCCTCCTCGGTCATCCCGACATCATCACAGGCCATCAGACAATTTCCAATCACAGGGAGCTTCATCACCCGCACCTGAACCGACACGATCGTCTTCTCCGCACTTACGAGCATCTCGCTCGACAGATCGACATCGAGGGCCATCACTCGATCAACTTTCACACGATCATCATGCACACAGACATATCGAACGACATATTGACAGAACCACCACTGTTTCTTCACCTGGCCGCACTCGACGGGTTGTAACTCACGTTGATGTTTATGAAGATATTGAAGCTGATGCATTGCCAATCGCAGAGGATCAGAATGATGGAGGTGACGAAGGTTTCGGAGCTGGTTTCGATGATGTTGCTGACGGACTTGACGACGATACTGAGATTGTAGAACAGGAAGAAACAACAACTACCACTGTGGTAAGTACAGCTTTTCTCTGGCCCTTTTTTATCACATTTACAATTGTACACGCTTAGTCATGTTTGTGTGTGTATGTGTCAATTTTATTTCTGCATTTTTTACTTCATAAATATATTGATTTGTCGGTTTCAATGATGTAATAATGTTAAAAAGATAATTGATAATTGTTCAGAATAGAGTAATTTAAGAAACCTTAGCAATCTTAAGTTGAATTTATAGATGATTCAAGAATTTCAAACTACATGAATATCATTGCACACATTAACACAAGATAATAAATAGTCATTTCTGAAAACCTCAATCAAGCTATATTTACTATTCTTTTTAGACTGAGGAAATTTCCAATTGTTCTGCCAGCAGACCTTTAATAAGGCAAAGAGCTGCCACGTCCCCGGAAATTCGTCCCTACCTTCCACTGGAAGACGAGGACAATGACCTCGACAATATTGATGTACCTGGGGCTGTTGGTGGTGTTGACCCAGATGCCGAAATTGACGAAGATAAATTGGTTGCAAAGATTTTGGAAGCCTTAAGGAAGAAAGCTGATCGAATAGAGGTAGGGAAAATGTATTATCAGACTGTTACCTACTAATGCAGCTAAATCTGCAAGTTTTTTAGATTGAAGTGCGACAAAAACATGATAAAACAACTTGAATTCTATTTTTATTCTACAGTTGGAAACTCCACAACTTGAAGATGCATTAAACAGGACTCTTGCTCGTTTATCGAAAGAAAAAGTAAAAGAAATCATGAACCGAGCTTTATCAACAATTGCGGAAACAACTTCTTCACATGTCAGACATCCAGAAATAGTTCAGGTAAACCTAATACTTTCATTGCAAGGCTTTTTGTAATCTCTAGTTTTTCCAGTATAATGTTTTTTCATGAACTAACATTCAGGGGATGGTCTGGTCCATATTAGGATTTTATGTAGGATTATGTATTATATCATGTGTACATATTATTATCAATTTAAACTTTGGGAAAGTTGTTATATTGTTCGATTTTTTATGCATCCATTATATTGAAAATGAACATAATTTTGTTCAGATTGCTCTCCTGTTCAATATGGCTCAACTATTTGTTCGAGTGTCCACCCAACCTTCACTTTTGAGCGGTATTGTCAACTCCATCATAAATCCAATCGTCGAAGGATTTGGAGGCTGGTCGGTAAGTAGCATTCGATCATAATTTTTCTTGATATTCTAAAAGTATTTTTCGAAAACGTGTCTGTAGATCACCTATGACTGAAAATAATCAAGTTCAAATACACTTGTAGTAAAGTAGTACTTGTAGTAATTTGATTTCACTTCACTATTCATTGTTTTGAAATATTTGGATATGTATATAACGATTCCTAATTTTTTCTTTATTTTTCAGAGAGTACAAAGTAGCCTTGACGAGACAGAAAAAGAAATGACAAATCTGGATAGTGATGGTAAGCATCGGATTTTACATATTTTTGGTTTACATCTGATTTTCTTCAGTGCTAGTTATTAAATTACCCTCAAAAACAAATCAAGTTCATTTAGATCATATTCTAAAGGGAACATAACTTTTTTGTGAGGCATCTCAGATTAGTAAAACATTTGGGCTCGATCATACACAGACCGAGGTTTAATTGCTGAATAAATATTCTTCATTAATCATGATGGAAATAATTTATGGGGTCTGTTCTTAGGGTCGGTCACCCTGTGTGGCACCACCCACTTTATTTAAGCAAAAGCCATACTAAATAAAATAATTTTTAGATTTACATGCGGTGGCATTTACAATAGGGGTTATATCTAGTTTGTTCTAGTCCTGTTAAAATAACTTTAATGGGAACTTTGTAAATTCTCGACAACAGTAAAATTCCACAAAAAAAATCAATTTTTTTTTTGTATAGAACCAGGAACCAGTGGACTAACTAACTTCAACCAACAAAGAAGAAAAAGTGATGTCAGTGACCCTGACAGTGATTTGGATTAATTTAGCAATTCGGTGATAACAGTGATCGAACAGTGGCAATATATTGACAATAGACATGAAAAGATGGAAATTGTTCGTTTTCAACGGAATACTAAAATGAAGCAAATCGTCCAAGTTATTAATGGATTTATGGCAATCTTATAGACTGGTTGAAATAGCATTTATTCTATATCGGCCCGATTACCATGCATGCGTCAATGTGGAGAATCACAGTCAGGACTTGTTTTGTTCCATCAGACAAGATAGTCTGACAACTGAAGAGCTAGTTGCCTTACAATTACTGTAGAAATATTTTTGCAATTTTTCTTTATTTTTTGATTGCTTTTATTTTTATAATGTATTTGATCTTATTGTTTTATCAGTACTCTAATATTAGCAAGGGTTGTTAATAGTACTGCCTATTGTTAATATGAAACCATTTTTTTGTTTATACATCATAAGTATGTACCATGGATGAAACATAGTTTATTTGTGGCACATACTTGATTTCTTTGTTTCAAGTTTGCTTTATTTTCTTTTCTTTCTTTTTTGTTCCCTATTTTGGTACGTTTTGCTTATTTTCTGTGTTCAAGTTTTCTTTCTACTTTTTATTGTTCCTTATTTTTTTTCTTTCTGATTTTAATGTCTTATTCCATTTCAATAATTATCTTTATTAGTTTTAATAATAAAAATCAGAGTACTGCCAAATTTTTTTATCCTCTATATAATATTATAGTATATAAATAATAATATATGTTTCATTTTTTTTCAACTTTTTGTTCGTTTTTATGTGACGGTTTTAATGAAGTGAAATATTGTTAAATATAACTTTTTTTAACGAATTTTTTTATTGAATGTATTAACGTAGCAATCCTGCCTCACCAAGGGTATAATAAATTGCTTGGACAATGCAGAACCAGAACTATTCTAGTCCTTTCAAATAAGGCTAGCCTCTTACATATCGTCAGATATCAGTGGCTTCTTGCACAGGGCCGTGTTCAGAGCGAAAAACGTGTTAAAAATGTTGGTTGTTAGATAATCAAGGTGCCATTTGAAGAAATGTGCCAATTCAAATACGTCTTGTACTCACTATTTATATGAGTCCTTTACTCCTCTGAGGGTTCTCCAGAAGTGTGTTTACCAATATGGTGATAACTAATTTTGTTCACCTACTTTACATCAAGTCCTGTAAAACTGTAAAGGGACTGAAACCTAAGGGCTCGTAATAGAACCACCGTAAAATAAGGAAAATCGGAATTAACTTTTGGCCCAACCCTAACCTGGTACACACACTACAGAAGTACCCCTCTAAGACTCGTCATCGTAAGATTTTGAGTTGCAAATGTTCATAATAAAGCTGCATATGTGCTGTGCTATGTTGTTTTGTTGCCTAACTAGAAAATTTCATGCTTGTTAATTCAAATAATTAATTGAAATAAAATCAAAAGGTGTAATAATTTGGAAATTTTTGAATCTAAAAGATGGATAAATTTGAAAGTTTTGATTCAATTGGCAGTGGCAACTATTTCATAAAAAAAATTTATGATATAATATATACCATCTGAAATTGATAAAATAATGCTTAATCATCGTCATTTTACAATTTATCAGGACTATCATTTAACTACATTTGAGTGCGATTTGTTTTCTTTCAATCAAAATTCATAAGTTATAACATACTTTGAGATCTTTTTGTTGCACTCTATTCCACTGGCCCTATTCGGTACGTGTGCTGCTTTTGAATGTAAACATTTGTTATAATTGAAAATTTGATGTTAAGATTTGTTTTTTGGTGCTATATCCCAATTTTTTTTTACTGTCATTGTTTGAATTTAAATTTACAACAAATGTCTAGTTCCATGCCCTATTTACATTATTTATTCTGTGAATTACAATCTTCTTGCGACATGTAATGTTACAATGTCTGTCTATGATATGATGAAAAAAAAAATTGAGTCATTTGGAACAAATTCTATCAGAGAGCATTATTTTTGTACGTAGCGTTGTAGATTACTGATAACTTTTGGGTACAATCATTCACGAACAGAAATTCAAGTGGGTAAAATTTTTGGGCTCTTAATTTTAAGTCACCCTTTATTGTCAGAAATAGTTGATTATCTGGTTTATTGGATTAAGTGACCATCTGAGATCTCTATATTCAGATTTCTCAATATTTTATTCAAATTTTATAACATTTATGTTTCATCTGTAGAGTTTCACAAAAGCCATGATTTTACTGGGTCTTGGAATGATAGTTTTGGACAATTACAGATTTACAATTCAGGGTTTTGAGACAGAAGCAGAAATGTTAAAATTTCCGAAAAACTTTCTTTTTCAAATATTACAAAAAATTATGTGCTCCCCAGAAAGTTTCCAATCAGAGTTTCAAGCAATATCCACCACCAAGGTATTTTGATAAAAAGTTGGTGTTTAAAAATTAAAGTATAAATTTATTCTTCGTTTTCACAAAACGGAACACGATTTTGGGATTAAACCCTCCAATTGTATCAAGTTCATTGCATTAATAGCCATAGTTTCACAAGTTTCAGGGAGCACACTTTTGCTTTGAACAGCCACTATGTAAACAGCCGTTTATATATAGTTAGCTCCAAAATTTGTGGCTGGTCCGAATTTTTTTTTTTTCGATATCACTTGCCAAATTCACATTCGTTTGCGTTGGTATCAAGTGCTGAAGCCAAAGTCTACAATGCTAACATGGCTGTATGTATGAAATCGACCTTCTTTGCTATTATTGTTATGATGTCTTTAATTTATACATGTTCCAGTGTAACTGGTTATTGTCCTTGTATATTCTATTAAAGCATGCCATATTATGTATGGTTAGCTTTATTTTTTCTGCAATAGCTCTTTGACTTGTTATTGCGTTTGGGTATTTAATATCAATGTATTTTCTTCATTTTTGTTGTGAGAAACAATTCCCATCTGTGTCTGCTACTCCAGACCTTTGGTTTGAATAATTGAATATAACAATGGCTCTCGTTTAACAGCCACTCATACATAGAAAACTAATATTTTCAGAATATCCCATGGTTCCATTATAGTATAGCCACTTTGCAAACCTAGTATGGAACTTGAAACAGAAAAACTCTATCCAGCTGCACGAAGAAAATCATACCCACCTGCTGCATCGCCATTTTTTATTAGCATCTGACCCACTTATCAGTTGAACTCTGGCTAACTGTAATTAATGTTTTAGTTATTGTAGTGATATACAATTTTTGCATAAACCTGGAATTTGTTTACTAAAAATTGGTAAAATTTCAGTAAAATTATTCTATTTTCCTATGTTATTCTATTTCTTGGTTTCAATTTCTCCCATCGCTGGTTTTGGCATCATTTATTTTTTTGCTGTAATTTTAATAGTCAACACTGTGATACTTAACGTTGGATTTTTGCGTTTGGTCATATCAGCTCTAGTATGATCCATGGTTAATTAACTTGATAATATGGTTGTGTCATTGCTTTGAGGGATATGATTCAAAATCTGCTTTTTGAAAGCAATCTCTTTTGTTAAAAGTGATTTTTATTTGTCTGTAAACTGTAATCACGCAAATAAATTCAAAACTCAAAAGGGTAATCGTTGATCGTCGGCATGGTTGAGAGTGTGTTACATTTTCGTGGTGATCATCAAGTGAATGGAGAAACGTTCATCAGATTGGGAATCAAATTCAAAAACACATTTCGATTTGTTGTAAACTCAAGTTTAAAACGCATTGACTGCCGACTGCTGGAGAACCATATTTCAAAACGACAAAATCTTCAGCGTTTGTTAGTTTTTGTTGGGAATTTTGACTCTGACTTTTCACTTTTATGATTTGGAAGTGGGAAAAATTTATTTTTGAACATCGTTTATTATATAGTCTACCAGGATAATAGTATTTCTAAATTTAATCGATAACCCCATTTTCATACGACTATAGCCTAAGATCTACTAGAGTCTACTAGAGGTAATCGTTTTGGATAGAGAAATCTTAGAGTTAGATATGCTCACTGTCCTGGAAAGTCGCATTATATTTTGAAATACAGAAACCAACTTGGATATAGTGCGTGATAGGCAAGGTCAGCGTGAAGAACAGCTTACTTTCAACACACATAATTAACAAATTTTATTAACGCTCACTCAGGGATGGCCAATTCGAATAAAGTATTCGAATGTATTCGAATATCTCGTCATTCGAATATCGGAATTCACGTTCATAAGAATAATCGGATATTTGTGTGACGTCACACATTTTCAGACGCGCTTTCAAGACGTTTCGTTGAATGAAACATTCTCGATAGAAACTTGCGCGTGATTGTTTTTATCACTCATCAGCGTAACGTGTTATTTAGGCCCGTTAACGCCTTTACGATTGCGTTATTTTCTCTGAAACGAAAATTTTCCACAAATTTGTTCCACGATAACATTTATTTTATTTTTGTACGCGCACGGAATTGTGAATCTGGTAAATACGTTCATTGGCGGCGAGTTTCTAAAGACAACGCAACTTTTTGATTGAAAAGCGGCAATTTAAAATACTGAAAATAAAACCTTAAACAACATTTATTGAGGCCCGCGAAAATTTAAAAAAAAAACGTTTCTAGGCAGTGAAAATCGCAAAATTTCGTTATAATTCACATTATGTTTGGTCGGCGTTTAGAAACATATCGTCACTAATTGAGGGTGGGATTTGCCTGATTATCCATTACTTTAAATTGCCGTCAAATATTTTCGGATTAACACGATACAAGGTTTGAAAAGCGACTTTTTCCCTGGTTGTGAGGATGTATATAATATAATTAATCTAAAGTATATTCAATCAATTTTATTGTGAAGAAATAAGTTTTACTCTGAGATATTTTACTCTGGACATTTCGATCGAGCGGAGTCACTGTTAACAAGTACACCTAAATATTTGCCGAATTCGCAAAATACGAATAAAAACAATATTTAATCGGACAGTTTACCTAACGTTTTTATTTTTATGGCCGCGGATTGCAAAGGTATATAAGAGTGGTGAGGATTTTATTTTGTCGACGCAACCGCAGGTTAAATTGAAGACAATTAAATTAATAAGAGCAAGACATTTTAAATATGCCTGTGTTGGTCACGAATTCATCACTTTGCACAACAGAAAAATATATATTCTTTCGTTCGCTTATAACAGGTGGCAAAATCGCGGCGATGAATATGTATTTTTAATTTACTGCTAAACTTTATATGTATATTCATTGTATGAAATGAATTATTCTCTACACTTAACAGGATTTTATATAATTATTTGAGATTTTTCTAACGGCGATAACGAGTTGGCAAGATTGCATATTTGATTGCAAGATTGCAAATACATATTAAAATTAAATACATCAAGCAGTTTATCTCGTAATATTAGGTCACAGATTGCCGTGGACCGAATAGTAATGTTTTTTTTTGACGTGAGAAGAAGCAACCGCGAGTTATGTTGGACACATTAAATTAATATATAAAGATATTTTAGAATCTCGTAGTTGTAATGGATTGAATATTTTACGTAACAGAATGATCATTATACGCTGACAAGACGGCTCTTTTAACGAGCGCGGAATCGCGGTGGGTGTTACAGGCGGCAAGGAGAATTTCCGATTTCGAAAATCCTGGCTGCGCGCTGGCAGTGGTGGTCATCTATTCTCTACTAATTTATTTCTAACTCCAAACACAACAATATGTTACACATAATAACAATATGGTTCACATAAATTTATATACAAATATACTGTGGTGTAGATAGTAGAATACTCTAGGCTTAAATATTAGAATTTTTAAAGGCATAATGGATTTTCGATTGTTGTTGCCTGTATTGCAAATAAATTTTATTACTCTCAGAAAATATACACAATTATCTGAATACAAGTAGTATTTTTGTCAATAGACTCGACTATTATCGTAATATCATGGTACAATGATAGAAAGCGTCAGACAACTCCTTGGCTATCTTTTCATATGGTCATTTGTACAAAGTGAATAATTTTAATAAACTGACTGTGTCACAAGTTGCTATTATTTTTTATTAATAGCTATAAACTATCAATTACTTTGTGTACATATACTGTTGGGTCTGTGGCTTCATTCTGATATTTCTATTGAAGCTTATTTCCTAATTTACTGGGTTTTAATCAACTAAAACAAAAATGTGTTATTTTCGATTTTAGAATGTATTCGGAATTCCAGATTCGAAAACATTATTTTAGAATGTATTCGGAATAGTTTAGTATTCGGAAATGACCATCCCTGCGCTCACTATTGTCCATTGTCAATAAATTAATAAGCAAAATTGTACCTGTGCACAAAATTGTCTCACTTCCATTTACCATCATAACACAATTGAAATATATCTTATTGTATCAGTAATCGTCCAAGGTTGCAATCATGTTTATGAAACTTTTTATTCTCGAATTATGGAATACATATTTTATTAACTAATTGATATTAAATAATTAAATTAGTAAATTGTTAAACTTTAACGCAGCGGGGCTTCGTAATGTCCAATCGGACCGCAAACTATACTGATTGTGGGCGACTGCTCGTGGCAGATTGCTGCAAAATACATAATGGCCTACCCTTGAAAAATAAATGCCGATGTATTGCGCCTAATGTTCTATATATATATATATATATTTGGTATTTACTAAACCAAACAAAAATAATGTGATCGTATTCATCATGTTACTGCCCTGTTCGTACAAGCCAAAAAAACATCGATTTCAATTCGTTGAGGAAAATTATTTACTTTTTCATATATATATATATATACACTATAAACTTATTTGAAACGTTATAACGAGGGGATTCTATTTTCGTCGATGGTTACTATACATTTGATACAAGTTATTTTCCGGGAATTCAACACTCTTTCTCTATGATTAATAGTTGAGGCGTTTTAAATTGTTTGTGTCTGCACGTTGGCGATGCAAAGCACTTAAACTTGGGATCGAATTACCCTTTGAAGAAAATGACATGGGGAAATAAAAACAAAGTTTATTTCGAAGTGAAAATATGACATATACGCATTGAAAACACGCTCTGATATCTATATTTTCGGCCAAAGTACTTTTTATGTATTGTGGTGTTAATTTTATCTCAAAATCAAGAATTTTATTATCGTGAGTACACTTTTAAACTAGAATGCAGTTTACATTTATATGGCAACCATTTATTGTCCGAATTTCGATATTTACCAATCTATTTACTGTATATAAATTCCACTAGTTTATTAATTATCCATAGTCCCTGTTTGTCGCCATATAAAAAAACTTTTTATTTATTTATTTATTTAACTATGAGCAGTTCATCATATAGCATTCCTCCGGTGGGTCATCTAGCATACTTCTGGGACTGTAGATAATGGTGCCGACCCCAATTAAAGCTGAATAGCTAAGATCCACTGTGAGAAAAAAAAACAAGAGACTGAGAGAGTTTGAATAATGCTTTGCTAAGCACTATTTGATATGGTTGGTACTGTTACATGTTTTCACATAATTTAACACAAAAATCTAAAAAAGTCCCTACATTTTAAACAGTGTGCCTTTTGACGTAGAAACTTTTGAAAATGCGTAAATGTAGTATTTACTATTGCAACAACGCAAACTCAAAGCCGGAAAGTTTGTATATCTAAGACCATGCTTTTCTTTCAAAATATTGTCAATGGGTCACCAACCCCAAGTTACTCTTGAACTTTCAGAAAATAAGACCTATTTAGGTCTCTGGTACAAAGTGTTTAAAATACAGTTGACCTCACACGAGTTTGAACCTGTTTTTCAGGTGATATGCCTGAATACACGGTATTTAATTTGTTTATACATGATAAAGTTTTTTGCAGGCATTTGAATATCACTTGAATGAAAGTATAATATATAATTATAAAAAACATTGATGCAAAATGAATATAGGAAGAAAAATGAATTTTTTAAATTTCAACATCAAATAGATCTTTGAAATCAAAATTGACAGAACTGAGTTAGCCGCCACAAAATGAAATACGTGGATTTCATCAAGAAAAACGTTGTTCGAAAAGATTAATGTAGAATTCATAACTGCGAGATGGCGATCGGGAGTTGGTAATCCAGACAATATGTCACTGCATTTTACTTGCTTTTTGTTGACCTAAAAATGTCGACGTTGAGATATTAATGAAGCACTCTAACACTGCTATAGAATTTTATACATAAATATATTTATTTCATTATTTCATATTAATATCATATTGCATATTTCCATAGATGGCATACAAAATTTAATCGCTTCTCTCTGATGTAGGTTTTTAAATAAAATAAAATTTATGTTGTTATGCATTTTGCAAATCGTACCATGTACTAATGGCGAAAAACCTCTTAAGATTTGTGTGCAGAAAAATACAAATTAATCAATTACTTCTACCCAAAGTATTCTGTCGATTTGCTTGCAATTTTAAAATACATTTTGATCGACCATTAAGTTACTCTCATTAGTAATGTATTTGCCATATTTTACCAGTTAACAAACATTTTGCACCTGGGATCTCTCGACAGGTGGATGTAAAAATACGTACCATCTCACGATGATAAATAACACAAGTCTAATTATATGAAA